CTGCGCCGCTGCCGCCGCCGTTGCCCCCCCGGGCTGGGCGCCGGCAGGATGGGGGGGGGAGGGGTTCGGCGAGTTCGGAGTCCGTTCGGAGCCCCAGGCTCCGGACACCTGACTCCTGGCCTCCTCCTCTGCATTGCCCTCCTCCTGGCCCCCTCCTCCTGGCCCCCTCTTCCTCCTCCCACCTCCTCCTCCTCCTCCTCCTCCTCCTCCTCCTCCTCCTCCTCCTCCTCCTCCTCCTCCTCCCCCTCCTCCCCCTCCTCCCCCCTCCTCCTCCCCTTCTCTCCTCCTCCTCCTCCTCGGCCTCCTCCTCCCCTTCCCCTCCTCCTCCTCCTCCCCCTCCTTCACCTCCTCCTCTTCCTCACCCCCCCTCCCTCCTCCTCATCCCTCCTCCTCCTCCCTCCCTCATCTCCTCCTCCTCCTCATCATCCTCCCCCTCCTCTTCCTCTCCTTCCTCCCCCCCTCTTCCTCGTGCTTTCCTGCTCCTCATCCTCCTTCCTCCTCCTCCTCCTCCTTTTCCTCTCCTCCTCCTCTTCCATCTCCTCCTCCTCCCCTCCCCCTCCTCCTCCTCCTCCTCCTTCCTCCTCCGCCTACTCCTCCTCTTCGCCTCCGACCCTCTGTCTCCTTTTCCTCCTTCTTCCTGCTCCTCCTCCTCCTCCTCCTCCTCCTCTCCTCCTCCTCCTTCCTCCCCTCCTCCTCCTACTCCTTCTGAGAAGGTGGAGGAGTTGGGCTCCTCTCCTCCCTGCTGCTCTGCTCCTCGCGCCTCCTCCTCTCCTCCTTCCCCTCTCCTCCTCCTCCTCCTCTCCTCCTCCTCCTCCTCTCCTTCCTCCTTCCTCCTCTTCTTTTGTCATCCCCACTCTGTGTTTAAGTGTTGTTTCCACTACTACCTAGTACTACTTACTAGTACTATACGACTACTACTACTACTACTACGACTACTACTACTACACTACTACTACTACTACTACTTACTACTACTACTACTATTATACTACTACTACTACTACGTTACTACTACTACTACTACTACTACTGCTACTACTACTACTACTACTACTACACTACTTACGACTACTACTCCTACTACTACTACTACTACTACTACTACTACTACTACTACTACTACTACTACTATGCTACTTTACTAAACTACTACTACTGCTACTACTATTACTATACTACTACTACTACTACTACTTCTACTACTTCTACTACTACTACTACTACTACTACTACTACTACTACTACTACTACTACTACTACTACTACTACTACCACTACCGACTGTCCAACCCTTCTTCCCCTCCTCGATCTCCTCCTTCTCGTCTTCGTACTCGTCGTCGTCCTCGTCCGCGTTGCGTCGGTCCCATTCCGTCCGTCCTCCTCCGTCTCTTCCTCCTCCTCCCCCTCCTCCTCCCGGCCCACGCCCCTGGCGCCCCTGCCGAGGAGGCAGTGGCAGCGGCGGGCGCGGCCGCGGGCGCGGGCGACGGCGGCGGCGACGGGCCCGACGGGCCCGCGCCTTGAGTTGAGTGGCCGCGGCCGCACGCCCCGCGCCGCGGCGCAGGGGCGCTGCGCCGCGCGGCGAGCGGCGGGCGCAGCGCGACGAGCGGGGGGAGGGGGGGGCCGCGGCCGCTCGATGGGCCGCCGCCGCTTCCAGGACTCAGGACTCCAGGACCCAGGGTCTCACTGGGCCCGCTTGGGCTCGCCGAGTGGGGAGGGCCGGGGGACCGGGGGACCTTGAAGTTGGGCGGTCCTGGGCTCTGGGGAAAGAGAGGGGCCCGGGGGTGGGGGTGGGGGTTTGGGTCTCAGTCTGGGGTCTCCGCGCCGGCGGCGGCGTCGTCGGCGTCGTCGCCCTCCCTCCCCGCTCAGCGCTGCAAGTGGGTTTGGCGGCGCACTCGGTCGAGTGCGCGGCGCGGCACTTTCAGGAGGCCCCCCCCCCTTCACTCTTTTCAGACTCTTCCCTCATCCGCTCATCCGACTTTCAAGATCCTTCTCCATTCCTTTCCTGTCTCCTCCTCCGCCCTCACCCCCCCTCCCTCTCCTGACCCCCTCGCCCGCTGCCCCTCTGCGCTGCGGGGGGGGGGGGCCGCCGTGTTTTCACGGCCAGTCGATTTCAGTTCACGTTCGTGCGTTTACGCAGTCACTCGCGCCGCGTGACTCACGCGGGGCCGCGGCCATCGGTCGCGAGAAATGGCAGGCGACAGAATGTGGGGAGTCTCGGAGGGGAAGAAGGAGACGGACCAGGGCGTTGAGGGGGGGATAAAGGGGTAGAAGATGGAATGCGTCAAGGAGGAGCGGGAGGGGGGCGCAGGGCGGTGGCGAGAGGCGAGAGAGCAAACCTAAAATCCAGAGGAGAGGAAGAAGAGGGAGAGGAGAGGAGGGGCGATGAGGAGGAAAGACAAATGTAGAGAAGCACGAAGTTAGTGAGTTAGTGGTGGGGGAGTGGGGAGGGGGGGGGATGAGAACATGCAAGGCCAGAACGATCATCAGATAATGGGGGATGGGAGCAATGACTAAACTATTTGGTAGAGCTTCGGTTTGAGAGAAAACGAGGGGATGACGCGCGCTACGCCTTCCCAAACGTGTGAGCCGTTTGGAAGAATATCCAGAGGAAACAGGTCGATGATCGCTTGCCTTGAATACTCAGAAAGATGCTGAGATAATATGTAGGGTGTCTGCAACTGCCGACCTTGATAGGCAATCCCGCGGGCCATGCTTTTGTGACAGCCCCGCTGGCCGCTGGGGCGCGGGGGCGGGCCGTCGGGGCAGCCCCGCGGGGCCGGGCCGTGGGGGCAACCCCGCGGGCCTTGAGGTGGGCGCGGCCGCGCTCCAGCGAGGGGCATCGCGAAACCCAGCCGTGCTGCGGTCTGCTCCGCCTCGGATCTGGAGCTCCCCGCCATCTCGTTGAACTTCAAGAGCGCTTTCCGCGCGGCCGCAGGATCGGCATGTTCCGCAGGCGCGTGGCACGGGAAAACATGACGTAGAGGTGCAGCCACCACTATTCGTCCGACGCGCCCGTGCGACCAGCATCCCCGTCCCTGGCGCAGTCGATGGCGGCGCCATCGCCGCGTCCGGGGACCGGGGTCAGCCGAGCGAGTGGCCCTCCTGAAGCGCGCAAAAGTGACCCCGCTCGGATTGGCCTGCGAGGGCTCGCATCACCCTTCGTTCCTGAGGTACCCAACTGTGACGACACTTACGAGATCCCGAGGACTTGTTCGGATTCTAACATGGAGCTGCGGGCCCTATTGCGAGGGGGCTCCTGCTCGAAAGTTCCTCGCGATGCGCTCGCGGACGAGGCTCTCCCCGAGATTCAAGCCTGGCCGGGGAATCCAACATTGGCGACAGGTCCATGGTTCGCATGACCCGCTCGGATTGCCAATGTGCAGCGCGGGCCCCACAGGGAGGGGGCTCCCGCCTGAAACTTCCTCGGAATTGTTGACGCTTCGCGTATCCCCCACCAACGGTTTCTAGCTTTGTACAGCTGTCCCGGACATCGCCTGTTGCCGCCAGACCGTTGTCGCGCGGCCGCCGACCAAAAAAGTATCCCCACCAGCGCGCGGAGATCCGCGGGGCTCCCTGGAGGGACGGCATGGGTGCTCAGCCATGCTACGAGAACCTGAACGACCCCATGGGTTGCGGCCCCATGTACAAATGCACTATTGCAGCTGCGGACGTGGAAAGGAACGAGCCCATCCAGGACAAGATTACGCGCCTGCAAAAGACGCTGGGAGGCGCTTTCAATGGCATCTGGCACGCGTGGGTTAAACGGGCTGCCCTGAGACAGGACCCCAAGGGAGGCTACAAGAGCAGCCCCAAGCTGAACACACCCCATACGTGTGCGGACTTCCTCGAGGCTTGGAACAACGCAGGCCATGATGCATATCGGATGGACCGTGACTTCGGGCTCGGCATAAACTGGGCTGCAGTTAGGGACGAGCACATGAACTCCGTGCGGCGCGACGCCCACGCACACGCCCCGCGCGACTACGGCAGCAGCGACAAACCTGCCCCGCGCCCGCGGCTGCACAGGGCCCCTGGCCTGGCTGGAGCCATCGGTGCAGCCGCCCCCGGCCAGTGGCAAGGCTGGCAAGAATGGACCTCGTGGGATCGTGGTGAAGCCCCATGGACGGACTCAGATTGGAAAGGCAGGGGCAAACGATACCCCCCTAGAGGGGGCGACCGCTACTCGGACAAGCGCGCCCGCTTGTGGGTTAAGAGTGACGCCGACACCCAAGGCTGACGTGATCCGGACACGGCCCACCTCAGCATCCTTGGCTACGACCTGCCCAAGGAAACCCGCTCCCACTCCTCCAGACACCCTTTGCCCCGAAGGGGCCAGTTTCAACTCGCTGCGCCCGGCTCAGGCCGCAATGCCCGGGGTCACCCTCCGCTGGGGCGAAGGCCAACCCCACATCTCACTCACGGCGCAGCCTAGCTAGACAGCCCACACTGGACAGGTGGACCACCATCTTCCATTTCGGGTCTGACGCGGAGGGGCTCCCCCACCAGCACCCGACATCTCGCCCTCTTTGGCGCGGCGGGTCCAGCTTGGCCCGCGCAGACAGGCCCCCCAGGCTCATAAGCTTTGCTGTCCGACGACGACAGCCGGCCCGCGCGCCAGGGGCTGGGGTGGACCACTGCATCCCCCCCCGCCTGCCCGGCGGCGAGCTCGACCTAGCCAGGCCGCAGTTTTGGCAACTACAGACTTGCGCGGCGGTCAGTTGCGACCCTGGAGGACCAACACCCACCATCCCCGTAGAGGCATCAGTCTCCGCGGTGGCTGACTAGCATTCAGCACGGCATGAGGTCCACTCTGGACCCCACCTCCCACGGCCTTCACAACGTTCGAAGGACCCACCCATCGATAGTTATTCCTGAGCGGCGGTTAGCTTCGACCCTGGAGGACCCAAGAGAATGACCATGTCCCCTGACCCACGGGTTACGGGGCCCGGCCGGGGGGCGGGGCGTTGCTTCCCCTCGCCTTTCCCCTCTCGGGCCAGGCGGGTGTCCCCCGCCCTTGGCCCCGGGGCCCGCCAGGCGTACCGACAGACGCCAGTGTTGTTGCGCCCCCTCCCAGGGCCGTCCGTGTCCCTCGCTGTCCGTTGTATGGTTCCCCACTTTCAGCGGCGGTTAGCTGCGACCCTGGAGGCTCACGTGGTGTGCGTTGGTGGACGAACCCGAGTCTTACGTGGAAGTGCGACAGCGGCGGGCAGGGTCAGGACATGACGTCCGTCGGCTCTCGTGTCTGGCCCGGCGCAGCCCCCCCCAGGTCGCATCACCCAATGGCATCGGTACACCTTGGTCGCACGCGCGCCACGTGCCCCGGGAGGTACAGCCAGCTCTGTTTATTTGTGGGCATGCTTGTCCCTGGTTCAGTTTGGCGTACTTCCGGAGGCAGCACTACCACCAGTGCAGCTCCCCTTACTCCCCTACCCCGCTGGCGATGCTCACCACGCCTGCTGGTCTTCCCCCCTCGCTCTGAGGCTTGACGCCGTGCCGGCACGCACTGCGTGGCTCACAGTCGCTTCGCTCCCCCTTGCACTGTTGGGTGGACTGGCGGGCGTTGATATCGCCGCGGAGTGGTTCAGCCTTCCGCAGCAGCTGCAGCACCGCAGGCTCACCATCAGCTTTCAGCAAGTTGCATTGCATCACGGTTCGCGACAGCTCAGCCCCCCTGGCTAGCTCACGTCGTCAATGGCGTTTGGAGCCTGGCGCCCCACCGGCGACTCGCTCCACAGGCCTCGCGCTTGCCCCCACTCAGCGCGACGGACTCGGTTACTCTGGCTCACGTCTTGATGCTGCGTGGGTCGTGCCAGTGGCAGGCATTGAATTCCTCGACATTTTGTCCTGTGCGCGCGCTCGAGCTCCCAGGATGCCCCCCGCCATCAGCTCCCCTTTCAGCTTCACGGCTGGTTTGTGAGTGGGCCGACCGGCTTGTGCCTTCTGTAGCTAATTCGGCTTGCCCGTTTGCCCGGACTCCCTGCCCGCCGCCTGCCTCTTCGCTGGCGGCCGCGACCGGAAAAAAATATCACCACCAGCCCATCCAGAAACGATGCCCAGGGGGGGTGAGATGATCAGGGAAGCGGGGGAGCATGCAGAAAAACAGAAGGCGAGGGAAACTGTCACATGCCCCAAGAGGCGGAGGACGGAAGAAGAATCGTCGTCGTCGTCGTCGTCGTCGCCGTCGTCGTCGTCGTCGTCGTCGTCGTCGTCGTCGTCGTCGTCGTCGTCGTCGTCGTCGTCGTCGGAGGAGGAGGAGGAGGGGGATGCGGGGGAGGAGGAGGAGGAGGAGGAGGAGGAGGAGGAGGAGGAGGAGGATAATGAGGATAAGGAGGAAGAGGATGTTGAATAGGGCGAGGACGAGGAGGACGATCATGATGAGAGGGAGGAGAAGGAGGAGAAGGAGGAGAAGGAGGACAAGGAGGAGAGGGAGGAAAAGGAGGAGGATGGGAGGAGGGGGGGAGGGGGGGGAGGGAGGAGGAGGAAGAAGTGGATGAGGAAGAGGAGGATCATACGAAATCCGGGGGGTGAAGATCATCGTCGGGAGGGTGGCCAAATACCTAGGCGCCGTGATCAATGTCGCGGGAGGTGCTACCAACGAGGTCCAGGCTAGGATCAAGAAGGCGGGGAACGCCCACCATCGTCTTTCTCAACGGGTCTGGAAGGCTGCACGGTGGAGTTTACCTCTGAAAGTGCGTGTCTGGACTACCCTCGTTCGATCTATATTACTCTACGCTGCGGAGGTCCATATCTTGTCCAAGGCGGACGTGCTGAAACTAGAGCGCTGGCAGAGTAAATGTCTGCGACACCTAGCTCGTTCACCTCGCCATCTCACTCGTGAAACCAACAGCGCTCTCCGAGCCCGCCTGAATATGCCGACGATCGCATCCGCAGTTCAAGTTCGCCGGTTAAAATGGTGGCGACTCTTATTGCGTCTTGCGTATGTCGATGCGGGAGGAGCCCCGCTACGCGGCAATCCACGGGGCGACCCAGGTGCCGCGCCCCGCGCCGCTCTTCTTGGAACGTTGTCGTTCGAGCCAGTTCACCTCCAGCGCACTGCGACACGCCAGGCGATGTTGCTTGATGATATGAAGGCTTTCAAAAACATGTGCGAGACCCAGGCCCAAGACGAAACTTCCCAGCATCGACATCGATTTCAACAGTACCTGGAACTATTAGGCGAACATCGGTCCCAAACCCCCAAGTATTTCCAAACCCTGGTTGAGGTGGCTCGCCGTCAGTTCCCCTCTTTTCATAGAGCAGCTCCTCGCCACCAAGGGCGGCGAGGCAGAGGGTGACCAGCACGTGCCTCCTCAGACGTGCGTATGTGGCCATGTCTGCAAAGATGAACGTGGTCTCAAAATGCACCAACAGCTTCATTGCAGTCACTATCGCGAGGATGTGAAGGTGGCCAACAAACGTCAGGCAGCCGCCAAGGCCAAAGCTAAAACGAAGAAATGGGTATGCATCAGTTGTTTTGCCACTTTCGCCAAGAAGTCGAACCTTAACAGGCACCAGGTTGGGCCATGCCAGAGGAGGGCGGAGGAAGAGGGCTCGGGGCAGGGCGGGGGAGACAACGGCGCGGAAGGCGGAGGTCCACCAGAAGGGGGAGGAGGAGGCGGAGGTCCACCAGAAGGCTTGAGAGGAGGAGGCGAAGGTCCACCAGAAGGAGGAGGAGGGCAAACTCAGGATAGTAGAGGTCGGGGCGATAGGGATCCAGCCCGGGTTGCTCATCCAGGCATCGCATCCGGGGGCAGAGGGCGAGGGGGGGGCGGTAAAGGAGAAGTTCATGATCGTGGAGGTCGGGGAGGTCAGGGACAGGCTCGGGGTGTTGATCGCAGTATGGCGTCTTCATCGTTGTTGTCGATGTTATTGGGTGGAGGCCGAGCATGTGGAATAGGGGGAGAGGTCGTTCACGATAGTCTGGGCGTTGATCTTGGTATCGCGTCTTCTTCGTTACCACCGCCACCGTCGGTAGCGCGCGCGGCTGGAGATTCAGCGTCTTGCAGCCGCCCGGGCCTTCTGAGTGCGTTGCCCGCGCACCCGGCTACTCATCGCGATGTTCGCCGCAGACCTCCAGCCCCCAGAGAAGAAACCTCGGACCGAGGGTTCGGGCGACGCCGTGGAGGAGAATCAGGCAGGATACGGCGAGCTGGTGACGGCCATGGCCAAGCTCCTGCTGGTGCACGAGGGAGAGAGGCGCGCGCCCGCTCGAGATGCGAACTTCGTCCTGGAGATCAAGGAGAAGTCCGAGTTCCAGGAGGTGCTCGAGACGGCGGTCGCCCACTACGACGCCACAGGGAAGATCGAGCGCGCGAAGGAGGACTTCAAGGGGCATCCAGACGGGAAGCGCCCAGACGCTTTCTTTCGGAGTATTTTCTTTCGCCTGCACCAGCTCGTCGAGAAGAACCAGACCGTGGTCGACCAGAAGGTGTCCCAGATGCAGCCGGAGATCCAGCTGGGCGCGCAGCAGGCTTTGTCCAAGCTCAAGCTCTGCGGCGGGAAAGCGGCGACGGACGAGGGCAAGAAGCTCCGCGCCACGAGGTGCTTCAAGCTGGAGGCCGACGAGAACGGAGTCGTCAAGTGGATCTTCGCTCTCGAGGGCGAGCCGTACGTGAAAGATATCTTTCTCGCGCTCCGGCGCACGGAGGTCCTAGAGGTGCTCGGGGTTCGCCTGACGTACGATTTCGCCCCGCAGCACAAGCAGGCGAAGAAAATCCAGGAGCTGGCCTTTGGCAATGGTTCCGGGCGGCGCCGGCGGCCGAAGAAGAAGTAAGACGTCGATGAAGGGCGGTCGGCTGAGTGATAAAAATCACCAAGACAGGGGAGTGCCAGTGAGTGACTCATTCTTTGCATTCTTTGTGCATTATAGAGCCAGGTGGTGAATCTGCGTCGCCCTAAACAGCTTGCGCTGTCCTTCCTCCTCTCCCCTCGCCCTCCCTTCGCCCCTCCCTCCTCCTCCCTCTCCGCCTCCTCGTGCTGTTTAGGGTCTCTGGGCCGGAGAATTTCATTTTGCATCGTCGGGGAAGCCCCTCGCCCCTGCAGAGGCAGGACGAGCGGGGGTTGAGAGGGGCTTGCAGCCTTGCAGAGGCAGGGTTCGCCCCTCGCTTGGGCTGGCCGCACAGCCGGGCGAGGGATGTGTGCGCGTGAGAAGCAGGCAGCGCGGCGCAGAGGGATCTAGAGGTCTGAGCGCACGGCAAAAAAAGGAGGAGGAGTATAATGAGGATAAGGAGGAAGAGGATGTTGAATAGGGCGAGGACGAGGAGGACGATAATGATGAGAGGGAGGAGAAGGAGGAGAAGGAGGAGAAGGAGGACAAGGAGGAGAGGGAGGAAAAGGAGGAGGATGGGAGGAGGGGGGGAGGGGGGGGAGGGAGGAGGAGGAAGAAGTGGATGAGGAAGAGGAGGACGGCGAACCGAAGAGCCAGAAATTTCTTACATGCCTTTCGGAGATCCTCTTGAAGCTTCGTGGGGGTCTCTTGGGAGCCTTTTGGAGGCCTCTTGGGCGCCTCTTGGGTCGTCTGGGCGCCTCTTGGGGCCCTCTTGGGGAGCTCTTGGGATGCTATTTTGGGCCTCCTGGGCGCCTCTTGGAACCATCTTGGGGGAACTCGATCAAAAAGGAGGGGAACTTCAATTGCGCCCCCCCCCCCTCGGGACCCCCCCAAATAGTTCCTGGACCTCTCTTGAGGCGCACTTGGAGCGTTCTTGGGCGCTCATGGGGCCGTCTTGGGGCTCTTTTGGGGCCCTCTTGGGGCTCTCTTGGGCCATCTTGAAGCCTCGACGGGCCATCGGAAGCGAAACAGCGAGACGGCACACATCCTTGGGGTTCCTTCGATATTTGAAGGTGTTTGGCCTCCTGGAGGCCTCCTTGGGAAGCTCTTTGGCCCATCGGAACCGTCTTGGGGCGGTCTTGAGGCCTCTGGGAGCATCTTCGGAGCCATCTTAAGGCATCTTAGGCTACCTTGAGCCATCTGGGAGCTCATCCTGGGCTTTCCGAGGCGCTC